TATTCTTCTCCAGGACATTTAATTTGCAAAAAATGTTTATTTAAATTCAAAATGCAAAAAAATGGATCAAAAAGAACTTCTGAAAACGCATTTGCAAAAAACAGAAAAAACGCAATAACCACCTGTACGTACACCTCAACGTGTTCAAAATGCTCGCAAAGTCAAATGCAGACGAAGATGGAAAATTAAATAATAAATAAATAAATAAATAATAAATAAATAAATAAACAATAAATAAATAAATAAATGATACTAAATAAACAAATGCATAATTAATGAATGCTAAATAAATAAAAATAGATGAAAGAAAGAAAAGCGAAAAGAAAGATAAAATGAAACAAATGAAGGAGAAACAAACAAACAAAATAAATAAGTAAATAAATAATAGCAATCGAATACATAAACAAATAGAAAGGGTTTAGGGTTTAGGGTTTCTAGAACCCCTTCGGCCCCTTCGGGCTCTTTCTTTTGGCTGAGCTGCTCTTTAACTCTCTCCTTTCTTTTATCTAATTGTTTTAATTATCTATTTAATTAATTATTCATTATTTAATTATTTTATTTATTTAATTATTTTATTTATTTGTTTTATTTAATTAATTGTTTCATCATTTAGTTACAGTGTCTCTGCTGCTGCTCTGCACAAGAAAACAGAAAAGCAAATGGTTGCCTAGGGGTCCCTTCAGCAGCAGCAGCAGCAGCAGCAGCACGAACAGTAGCTGCAGCAGCAGCAGCAGCCACTGCGAGGGCAGTTGAAGCAGCAGCAGTAGCAGCTGCTCTAGCGGCAGCAGCAGCACCTGCTGCTGCAGAGGCAACTGCAACATTTGCTGCAGCAGCAACAAAAGCTGCAACATTAGCTGTAGGTGTCTAGACACTGCTTGGTTGACTATGCGGGTGCAGCAGCTCCCGTCTGCTGCTGCTGCTATTGCTGCGGTTGCTGCTGCTGCAGCTGCTGCAGCAGCAGCAGCGCGAGATACACACACCAACGTTACAGCAGAATGTCAGTCAGGCCCACGCCTTCGCTTGCTGCTGGTGCTGCTGGCGTTGCTGCTGGTGCTGCTAGTGCTGCTGCTGCAGGCGTTACAGCTGCTGTTGCTGCTGCTGGCTCTTGCTGCAGTTGCAGCGATTCAAAACTGGGAGGCTGCGAAAAGTCAAGCAAGGACCACTCCGGCGCCAGCTGCTGCTGCTGCTGCTGCTGGTGCTGGTGCTGCTGCTGCTGCTGCTGCAGGCTGATGGTGCTGAGGAGGGCGTCAAGTTCATCTAGGGCGTTCCCGGGGGCCCCCATGCTGCTGCTGCTGCTAGCTGCTCTTGCTGCTGCTGCTGACGCGCCAGCGTCTGCAGCGCCAAGTTCCTCTCCTGCAGCAGCAGCAGCAGCAGCAGATGTGCTTTGCTGCTCCCTCGGGGAAGCGGGGAGGCTAAGGAGGTTGGCCTCGAGTGCTCGCAAGGCAGGAACGTCTCCTTGCTGCTGCTGCTGCTGGTGCTGCCACGTTTGCTGCTGCTGCCAGCTCCTATAGTTTGTCTCTTCATTAAAATCTCTATTAAATTCTTTGCAGCTTCTGCTGCTGCTGTCGGTTGGCAGCAGCGGCGGCGCTGCGCCCCCCAGCAAGTCGAGAGCAGCAAAAGGAGACACTGGACGCTGGCTGTCTCTCTCCTCCTGCTGCTGCTGCTGCTGCAGTTGCTGCTGCAGCTGCTGCTGCAGCAGCTGCTGCTGCATGAGCTCGGCTGCGGCCCGGGAGGACTGTGCCGCGGCAGCAGCAGCAGCGGGCTGCTGCAGCTCCTCCTGCCACACCCTGCCGCCGCTGCAGCAGCTGCTGCTGCTGCTGCTGTTTGGAGACACCCCCAGCAACTTTGCTGCTGGCAAATAAACATCAAAAACAGCAGAGACAGGTTTGTGGTCAGAAGAGAAGTAGCGGTCGTGGTGGGTGTAGGAAAGGCAGCGCACAGGGCTGCTGCTGCTGCTGCTGCTGCTGCTGCTGCTGCTGCGGGGGGGCACAAGGCGGCCACCATACAGCACTCTGTCACACCTGCAGCAAATAACAACAACCCCACCTCCCCCAGGCCCATGAGCTGCTGACTTTGCTGCTGCTGCTGCTGCTGCTGCTGCGGCTGCTGCTGCTGAGGGGGAAATAATAAAAGGAGACAAATAAAAGGACTAAACAAAGGGATAATAAAAAGAAAATAAATGAAAAGCAAACAACAAAGAAATAACAAAAAGAGACAACAAAAGCAAACGATAAAAAAGGACAATTCAACTAAATAATAAAAAGAAACAAAAAAGCAACAGCAACAGCAGCAGCGAAAGCAGCAACAAGAGCAGCAGTAACAACGGCAAAGCGAGAAGTGAGGCAGACAACAAAAGGAGCAACAAGAGCAGCAGCAACAGCAGCAGCAAAATGGGCAGCGAAAGGAGCAGCAAGAGCAGCAGCAAAATGAGCAGCAAGAGCAGCAGCAAGAGCAGCAGCAGCAGAAGCAGCAGCAAACCATGCGGGAGTTCTTTTTAAATCATAAATTTGATTATTTTTTTTGAATTTGTAAGTTGGAGGAAATGATATTGGAGCTTCCGAAAGAGACGCAAATGTAGAGACACCCGAACGTGCAGCAGCGCGGAACTGGTCGTGACTGCAGCAAACAAATAAACAAATTAATTAACTTGATTAATTAATTAATTTAATTAAATTAATTAAATTAATTAAATTAATTAAATTAATTAAATTAAATTAAATAGTTTGTTTAGTTGTTCTGGTTGCGTAGATGGAGGGAAAGAGGAAGGGATGCAGCAGCACTCGCGGCTCTCCCGCTGCTGCTGCTGCTGCTACTGCTGCTGCTGAGATGTAAATGGCAAAGAAGAGAGAGGAGGGGACAGAGAAAACGGAGGAGAAAAAAGAAAAAAATAAATAAATAGAGAAACAAAAAGAGCCCAAAAGAGACTCCAAAAAGAGAGAAAAGGAGATTAAAAAAAGAAAACACGAAAAAAGATTTAAAATCCAAACAAATGACAGAAAGAAGCAAAAGAAGAAAAAGAACAAACAGGTCTTTAAAAGATTTAAAAAACTTCAAAAATATTCCAAAAAATAAAAGCTTTTCCCACGCGAGAAGCTGCGAAAGATTGCCCTGCGTCAGCAGTTGCAGCACTTCTTGGTGGGGACAATTTAATCGAAAATTAAAATCTCCTCCAATAAACAAAAAGTCGTGCTGCAGTGGCAGCGGCCACCGCCCGGGGCCCCCCTGCAGCAGCAGCAGCAGCAGCAGCGGCGGCGGTGGGCATGCGCGCAGCGGGACTCGCGGAGGACACGTACAAGTAGCAGCAGCAGCAGCAGCAGCAGCAAAAGCGACAGCAGCAGCAGAAACTGCAGCAGCTTCAGCAGCAGCAACAGCAGCAAAAGCAACAGCAGCAGCAGCAGCAGCAGCAGCATACCTGGAAGGCCTGCTGCAGCACTTGCTGCAGCTGCTGCTGCCTTTCTTGGGCCCCCGAAACCCCACAAGCCAAGTGGACATTAAGAAAACAAAACTCCAAAAGCCCCAAACGCAAACGCACTCCAACTGCCCCCTGAGACACACGCAGCAGCCCCAACAAGTGCATGCGTGCGTGCATGCATGCATGCATGCATGCATAAATGCATGCGCAAATGCATGCACGCACAGATGCATGCATGCAGCCATGTCCCAAAAGAAAAGATGCATGCATGCACGCATGCATGCATGCGTGCATGCATGCGTGCGAGAAAGTCCCCGCCGGAAGACCTGTGCATGCGTGTATGCAGAAAAGCCCCCAAAAGGAGATGCATGCATGCATGCATGCATGCATGCATGAATGCATGCATGCATGCACGCATGCATGCAGTGTAGCTAGCTAGCTAGCTAGCTAGCTAGCTGCTGGCGCTTTGTGTGGCTGTGGGTCCTGACTTTGTTGCCTGCGTTGCCTTTCATTCCAACTTTAACTGTTGTTCCATCCACATCTGCAGCAGCAGCAGCAGCAGTTGGAGTCGCAGCAGCAGCAGCAGCAGCAGAGGGCTCGCTAGTTGGGCTGCTGCTGCAGCAGAATGCAACGCTTGACGAAAGAAAAACCCGCTTTTCCTGCTGCTCCCACGCCCAACCCTAAACCCCTAAACCCTAAACCCTAAACCCTAAACC